AGGGTCACTCGAGAGCTATAAACTCATGCTCTCCAAGCCATTCGAAGCCTAGGAGGGACATATGGCTTGGAATGGCTTGGAGAGTATGAGTATGTTGCGCTGGAGTGACCCCTTTCCTCACCAGACCTCAACCCATATATTCTTTCTGAACAGTCGCGACTTCTTCGAGTGCTGCACCGTGACAAGACCTATGGATCCTAGCGTGATTCTATTAATGCAAAGGTGCACAGTCGACCGTGCTATGTTAACCCTAAGTTTCGTGGCAGATACCCTAGTTTTCGCCACGCTGCTCGTAATTTTATCCTACAACGGTACGACGAAGACGATCCGTGATAAGACAGAGTCAATCGACTTATGGCATCTTTGGCCACACTTCAGCGTGGCTAGTCTCAGAGATAACATTCAGTCAGAAATCGTTCAGAATACTCTTGCATACGCTCAAATCCTTCGCAATTTTCCTAGTGCTCACCCCCTTATGCAAAAGCGTGGGTCCAGGAAGAATGCGAGAAGATCCCTATAAAGGTTTGCACTAACCTCATAGATAATATGCCTAGGAGGGTGCAGGTGGTGATCTAGGCGAAGTGTTGGTGGACTAGGTATTAGAAACGCTGCGTGAAAGTTTGCTCTTTGTCCTGGGAAATAATTGTCAGAATGTACTCTTTGTATATCTTTTGGCACTAAGTTAGATCCAGTGTACTCTCATGGATTTTTGTGCTGTGAACACATCCACTATGTGCCCCTCCCAAAGCGTACCACCATTAAACATTAAGACTTTATGTACAGTGATCGGAAATCCCAAAAACCCTAATTAATGCAATACATCCGGACAATTGTTTTTCCGTCACTGTAAGTTAAGAATATCGCTGTAGACTTTCTACATCAGTTTATAACGTGTGGAGCCAGGAAAATGACTTGGAAACGGGTCGTGGGTAAGATTGGCGAGCGGACACGTGGTGCAAACCGTCGGGCGAGACTGCGGCTTCATCTCCGTGCTGTCAGGTAAGAGAAGACTACTTTTATCAAGAACTGCTGCTCGGATTGAATGATTAAGAATCCCTTGTGATGGATGTCCTAACCGCTGATGCCAGATGTCTTCGGTGGCTGTGTGTCCTGATGATCGCAGGTAGATATCGGCATTAGTATAAAACGAAGAAATTATAAAGGGAGAAAGCGCGGAAGACATGTCGAGCTCCCCTTCAACGAAACGGGTAAGTGGTTACTGGACATTCAGTGGTTCTGCTGCAGTTGCGATTGCAACTTCTAATGCTGCTTCTGTTGATGTGGTGGCAGGTGTTCCTGCGACAGCTACTGTGAGGCTTGGTTGCTCGGCTTCTTCAACGACGTCAGGTTCATCAGATGCAAGTCCACCAATTTCTCCCCAAAGTGGAGCTGGAGTTCCTTGGAAGGCTGCACGAGCTGTATAAAACGTTCGCCAAGCATTGGCGCCTTCATCGGCTGTATTGAACTCCCAAGTATCCAGAGCGGTAAGTACGGCAGCTGCAGTTCGAGAAGCCGTTGGTACAGTAGTTGCCCGAAAATCAATATCCACATGCTGATAATCTGTTTCTTCTAGGTGATCCCAGGGACCAAGTGCAAGGACGCGTTCAGAATCACCAGAAGTGCCTTGTGCCGTAAATTGAAGGACCGACACGCCATGTTGAGTAGCTGCACGACCAAGGTAAGTATTCGTTGAACTGTGCCATAACTCCTGATCCATCGTTTCACAATTGCCTTGTGTGCGGATCTTGTGTGCCAGGAGCTGAGCCGTGGAAAGAAGATTGAATCCAAGGCCGGCGACGATAAGAACATTGGTAACGTGTAGTGAATATCCAGTGTCGATCGATTCGAGCATTACACTCCCAACAGAACGTGCCATAATAGTTTGTTTGTTTGCGAATGTGACAGGTATCGGACGACGAAGTGGACGCTGGTTGGTGATGAAGATTTTTTCAGCGGAGCACATGTGCCAACCGCAATAGCTGTCGAGATACTAAGTATTTGGACCTGAAATGATTCGAGCAAGGTTAGCGTAAACTTGCGGTAAGGGAATGCCTTCAGCACTTGTAGTTTCTTCAATTCGTGTCTCGAAATCTGCTTCTGAGACATCAACTATTGTAACACATCCAAAGACCCCTTTCCCTGATGTTGCAGATGCAAAGACCGGAGGACGATGCTGTGACGACGAAGTATTCGGCGGTGGTTTCGTCATCTGCTGCGTCTGGGTCGTCGAGTGCTGCGTTGACTGAGGTGTTTTCGGTAACAGCTGCGAACGGTGATACGGCTGTGAAGTGCAGCGATGGTTTTGATGGTGGCTGCGATAATTTTGGTAAGTATGTCCTGGTTTCTTGCAGAAATGACAGAAGGGATACTTCGAGGGAAGTGGTTGGTGCGATTCTGGATTTGAGTAAAAACTCAAGTGTATTCCCTTTTTCTGTTTGCGTTGTGACTGCAGGTCCAAATCTTGCTGTTCAGCTTGAAGATACAAACAAATCTCAGCTTCAGAGAGATTTGGATTCATGCGTAGGAAGGCGCGCGACTGTCGCCATTCGGGTCCAAGGCCAGCAAGAAGGACCGTGAGATACATCTCACGAAGGAAGTATCCCCCACTCTTCTCCAGTTGATCACGTAGTGTACGGACGCGGTTGACGTAATCCATGACGTTCTCGTTTGTCATCATCTGCACACTTGTCAACTGCGAAAGAATCTTACTCACTGTTATTGTATCTTTTGCCATGTATACCCCCTTCAAGTGGTTCCATGCAGTTTAAGCTGGTGTAAAGCTTGAATGAAACGATCGGATGCCGAGCTGCTCTTTCGGCGATAAGTTCCGAACAAGAACCGTATACGCCCCGAGAGAGGCGTGCAAGAAACTCTGCTGCTCCAGTTGTGTTCCCACGACAGGATATGTAAACTCGCCGGTGAAGAACGGCCATAGCCCAGCGGACTGCGCCAGAAGCTCAAACTCGAAATTCCAGGAGTAAAAATCTACTCGGTTAAAAGGTATGGTTGTCTTGATCTGTGTACTGTTAAGCAAATTTGGCGGTTAAAAAATAATACCCGGTTGTTGAGGCTGTTGCAGTTGCTGCTGTTGTTGTTGCTGTTGTTGTTGTTGCTGAAACTGTTATGGCTGTTGTTGTTGTTGTTGCTGTTGCTGAGCAGGGGAACGCCCAAAGATGTATAAGGGATGCTGCTGCTGCTGTTGTGACTGCGGCTGCTGCGCAAAAGGTGAGAAAGCAAATGAACCAGTACTTGGAGCTGTGGCTCAACGCATATAACGCATTCCACTGAACGCCGACGATATAGACAGTGTTGAAAACTGTGGTTGTGCTGATGCTTGTTGCTGTGCTGTTGTCTGTTGTTGTTGCGCTGCAGGTGTAGTCGATGAAACACCTGGAGTGCTGACAGAAGGCGGATTCTGCTGCTGCTGCATTCCGATGTTAGCATAAGCCGGTGGAAACGGTCCAGAGGCTGAAAGACCACTGGCGGTCGTGGAGACAGGTACTCCAGTAGTTCCGAAAGTTGATCCGGTAGACGGTACTGGTGATGAACCAGTCATTGTTGACAGTAGTTTTAATTCCAGATAGCTCTCATACCATGTAAGAATTTGACAGGTGTTGCAGAAGTCTAAGTATAGAATCTGCAGACACGAACACTTGGAAAACCTCAAGTGTTAGTCCAAGATCTTTACTGGAATGGTAGACTAGTAAGACTGCGGAAGTCTTGTAAAAGTGAATCTGAATATAACTCTTGTAAAAGTCAAGGTTGAACAACCTGAGCTTATGAACATGTGGGTAATCAATGTTAATAATGGAAAGGCATAACAAGGACTTATAGTTCTAGGAAAAGTACCTATTCGCCAATGTACCTGTTCGTCACTATCGCTCTATGCGCCCTAAATGACAAAGAAGAGGTGCGACTGTTCGCGTAACTAAAACGACTGTCCCCATGACGAGCGCTATTTGCTGACGTTATCAAACGGACTTATATTCTACAGTAGGATTCGACACTATCTATCTATAATCGACTTACAGAAATGCTAAGTATGAATTATGTCACAACGAGTAGAAGTAACTCTCGCCTGTTTCAGAACGTTTTCCGGTCCGCGCCAGCCTGATTTTGTCACCATTGTGGCTGGCGCGATATTTTTCCCGAAGTCCAAGCGCAGTTCGAGCGAAAAAACACAAAATGCCCTGATCAAAATTCGTTGGACATTTGTTTGTCGAGAAACACGAAAACACGATTTTGTTTCGAGGCACATAATTTTTTTCCCAGAGAGTAGCGCGTCCCGGGATGAAAAAAATTTGTGGCTTTGTCTCTACCGCATTTGCGGCCCCAAACAAAAGTCAAGCCATAAACTTGTTGTCATTCCCGAGTCGCCCAAAAACAAAAGCATATATAGATAACTACAGAGGAAATGAGTATGCTCAAAAACATTTCAAGGTACTCTTAGATTCGCATATAATTTTGTATTAATTTTAATACAACGAATCTATTAGAAGTCTGCTAGTTGTCTTTTGATTTTTTTCAACAAATATATTTACCAGAAAGTTTTTTTTTTTTTTTTTGCGTTTGTTAATATTTGAACAATGTCGCACCCGATGTGCGCCTGCTGTGGCCCAATTAGCTTATGACAGAAATGCGCGAGGTCTCAATTTTGGAATTTTGTGTGCGCGACGTCCAACGATTTTTAATCTGGGAATACTTTTTTTGTAGTTCTCTCTAACTGCGCCTGGAGCTTGAGAAAAATATCGCGCCAGCCTGAATGATGATGAAATTGGGCTGGCGCGGGCGGGAAAACGACCCAAAACGGGGGAGGGTTACTTCTACTGACCATTCGTGGAGCTTTTTTCTTGTAGTTTCTGACTAACGGTGGAACCCGACTGATGAAAAATGTTGCGAACTCGCTAATTCTGATTGTTTATATCGTGTCACTGACCGTATATGTTATCTAGACCCCTAATACTGAGCGGCGATGTATTTTCCCCTGTAAAAGCTATACGCCCACCGATCTTGTCGCGGAAACAGCGTGCATGCCACGTCATTCGTGCTGTCCGCCACACCGAGCCAGTTCACAAAACCAACCTAGCCCTGCAATCGTGCCCCACTACTTACGGGCGCCATTACAATCTGGACGTCCAGCGCGTGTCCATCTGCTCCCATACTCGCGCGGTTGGACTCAGGCTCGCCTTTCCTCCGTGCTGCGGTAGTGCGTGTCCGTGTGTGTCCGTGTGTGCGGGTCGAGCATGGCGCACGTGGGGCGGATCGCACGGCACGGCGTGCAGGCCGTGACGAGGGGCCGACTGCGATTTTCCACAGAGGCGGCGAAAACCGCGTCACGGGAGAAACTGGTGAGGCGCGCCTGAGCTGTCCGCATTCACTGCAAGCCTGTGATCGTCTGGTAGGCAGACGCCAGTGGCTCTGCCCTCCTTGCCCTTCCCCTCGACTTGCTTCCGCCCTTTGAGAGCGCCGGAATTCCGAGCGACGTTTTTTTGCCGGCTCTGTCGAGGCTCTCGCACTTGGTTTCGCGTTCGACAGCAGTCGCAGCAACTTGAGGCAGCTCGCAGGCGCGCTGTACTTGCTGTAATCGCTTCGCACTTGTTGACCTCTCTGACTCAGGGCTGCTAGCGCTTCGCTGCACTCATGCGTCTCGTCCAACTCAACCACCCCTGCTCTCGCACTCTCCCCTCTGCCCTTCCCTCCCGCTCCCCCCCGCCCTCCTATCCGCCCCCCTGTCCGCCCTTCCCTCCGCCCTCGCCTCCGCCCCCCCTTCTGCCATCGCCTCCTCCCTTCCCTCCGTCCTTCCCCCCGCCCTCCATCCGCCCTCCCTTCTGCCCTCCCCTCCGCCCACCCCTCCGCCCTCCGCTCCGCCCTTCCCTCCGCCCACCCTCCGCCCTCCCCTCCGCCTTCCTCTCTGCCCTCCCCTCCGCCTTTCCCTCCGCCCACTCTCCGCCCTCCCCTCCGCCTTCCTCTCTGCTGTCCCCGCCGCCCTTCCTCCCCTACCCGTCCCCCCCCTAGCTGGTGGAGGACGACGCGGCGCTGCACAAGTACAGCCCGCAGAAGGCCGCCATGGCCACCTGCAACACCGTCGGCAACGCCGCCACCGCACTGGTGCTCGCAGGTACGAGGGACGCACGTGCGATGATGTGGCAGAACGATGACATGGCCGCTCCGCTTGATACCCACATTCCATTCCATGCGGGCCGTGCCACAGCGTGGTATCATCCGCCCGCCCAACAACACGCTCCCACACGTCCAGGCAAAGAACGCACTGGAGTGAACCATTGTGAGCATAGGGCATGAGGTATGGGATTGCACTTTAGTCTGCACACCCTGCCACATATTCAGGCAACGTGTGTTTCTCGTTCCCTTGGTTGCAGCGGCAGCAGTGGACCTGTCGTATCGCGTGTTGAACAAGGACAAGTGAGGGGGGCAGCTGCCGCACATGGGGCCTCGTCACACGGGGAACAGGGGTGGTGGATGAGGTACTAGAAAGGAAACGCGTCGCCATTTTTCTCACGAGCCACCTTCAAAGTCAGCATCTTCGTGGCACTGCTTGCTGGACTCTCGTAGGGAAGAAGTTCTTGATAGGGGAGGTAGTGTGAGCTTTCCGCTCGTACCACGCAGTTCAGCGCTCTTCACGCGCATTCTTTTGCGCTATCTTTCCCATGTGTTGACTTGATAGTACATGCACGTGTTGGAGTCAGAAGCTGTACATTTATCAGTCGCACGGATAACGCGCATAATGGATTCATGCCTTCCAGTCCAACCCTGCGCGACCACTCGAGGCGCGCGTTCCCGAGACGCCTTGGCACGAGATTGGCGTAGCGGAGCACCACGCAGCCTGCTTTTCCGCCTCTCGCTGGCACAATCCCCCCCACCCCCCACCCCCCACCCCGCATCTGCACCCTCCCCCCCTCCCCCTCGCGGCTGTTGAGCTGGTGAAACCGATTCACCTCTGCATGGAATTCCCCTCCGCCCGCCAGCCATGTGCTCTGCTGCCCTTCCCCGAGCGACCACCACCCGTCCATGTGATCACATCTCTGCCACCAGCAGCCCTTTCACTGCTTCGCCTTGTTTCTCCGTACCAAAGTCACACGAGCATTGCTATTTATTCTCCACGCACGCGGCGCAGAGTTCGAGAAGCCGGGGCTCACCGCAATGGCACATGCGAGCTCACACGGTGCAGCGCGTACCGGATCATCGGGCCGCATGGCGCGTGCGGGCCATGACACGCGGCCATGCGGCGCCACCCACACGCGCGCAGGTGGCAGGCATCTAGCGGTCGATGTCCTTCAGCTGCTGTGCGTGTCCGCGTGCGCTCTCGCTCTGCTGCCCGCTCCAGCCGGATCAGCACCGTCGCAGGTCCCGCCTGTCCCAGTCGGCCCTTCCCCGGTGGCGCCTGCCCCACAGCGCGCGGAGTTCTCGTTCTCGCTGCTCAAGAAAGTGTCGCCGGGCGCGCGGTGCCTCGACGGCAGGTACGGCGGGGTGGTAGACTCCGTTGGCGCCAGGCTGGGTGCACGGCCAGCGTCAGCTCATGAGGCGCGGAATCTGCTCCATGGCGCATTCTTCCATGCCGCATTCTTCCATGGCGCATTCTTCCATGCCGCTCCCCTGAACCGGATGCTCGTTCGTGCGCTCCTGCCGTCACCGGGAGGCAGCTTGGTATGATGGGCGGGCGAGCGCGCCCCCCCGCTGGGGTGCGTGAGCACGTGTGTGGCCATCGGCAGCCTTTCTGGGCGCGCCTCCCATCTCATCCCTGCCACCAACGCTTGCTGCCCTCCCCGCTCCCCTCACCCCCATCCCCCCTCTTCCTCCCGCCCTCTTCCCCCTCTCTCCGCCAGTCCCCCGGGGTACTACTACCGGCGGGGCTACGGCACGGGCAAGCGCAACTGGCTGTTCTTCCTGCCGGTGAGGGGCGGGCCGGCGGGGTCAGGGGAAAAGCGGAGCGGCTTTTGAAAAGGGTGAGGGGGGGCGTGGGGATGCGGGGAGTGGGCGACGGCACTGCAGCGGGGATCCCTGGACGGGATGGGGCGGGGGCCATGGCGCTTATGGCGGTAGAGCGCGCTGTGGGGGGTGCGGGTGCGAGGGCTGTTGACGGAGGAAGGGGGGGGCGACGCCCGGGGGAAAAGGCGGTGGAGGCGGAGAGAGCAGGGAAGAGAGGCGCATTTTGTTGGGGAGGCAGAGGGACGCTCGCTGGGCGCAGAGGGAGCGAGACGAGAGGAGTGCGTGAGTGCGTGAGTGCGTGAGTGCGTGAGTGCGTGAGTGCGTGAGTGCGTGAGTGCGTGAGTGCGTGAGTGCGTGAGTGCGGGCTGGGCTGGGTGGGTGGGAGGGAGCACGGCGCGACGAGTGAGGTCTGGATGCGCTTGGAATCTACCAGGTGGGGGCAGAGCCGCGCAAGGGCGAAGCAATGGAAGGGAGGGGTGGACCCAACTCCGCCCTCTTCGTCGCCCCCATCCCGCCCCGCCTGTATCCCCCGCCCCTCTCTCTCCCCCCCTCAGGGCGGCGCGTGGTGCTACTCCCCCCGCTCGTGCCGCAAGCGCACGCACACGCTGCTGGGGAGCTCGTCCCTGTGGCCCCACCCCGCCGACCCGGCCTTCCAAACCAAGGTGCGCGGGTGTGATTCGATCCGGTTGCCAGAACACAAGGGCTGCAAATGTGTGTGATAAGTGGAGCGCGTGCAGTGAGTGCGCTGTGGTCCCCCGTCTGAGCCGACTCAAAAGTGAGTGCGCTGTGGTCCCTCTTCAATCGCATCCCCTCTCTCCCCTGCAGTGCACCAACCCTGTGTGCTGTGCTCCCTTTCTTTGCTTCGCACCCCCACCAAAAGCCACCAACGGGCCATGGCTTCAAGGCCATGCTGCCACGGATGCAAGTCCAGACTACTTCTGCCTTGCCTGTCTCTCGTGCAAATCCCCCCCCCCTCCCCTTCTCCCCTCCCCCGTTAGCTGAAGCGTCTGACGGGGTATGGCTTCACGGGCGTGCTGCACGGCAGCGCAGCGGTGAACCCGCTGATGCACAACTGGCACGTGGTGGTGGTCGCCTACTGCGACGGCGCCGCCTTCTCCGGCACCCGCGGGCGCTTCAACACCTCGCGCACCGCCTCGCTGGTGGCGGGCGGCAGAAGCATCCTCAAGAACGTCGTGCGCCGTGAGTACAGGGCTGCTCTGAGGCACTGGCCGAGCATCACCACGCCCTAAGGGGTTTGTTGCGCCTGCATGGATGCTCGCTTTGGCATTTTTCATCCCTCCCCGATTTTGTATGACTGGCATTGAGTGCCCCTCATCTGTAGTATTTCGAAAATCTCTTCTACAGCCAATGCTAGCAACACCATTGTCTGTGGTGCCTCTCTCCTTACCTCCACTGCGTTCGCTCTTCGCACCCTCTTCAGTCGTCCAACGGTGTGGTAGCACTAGAGTGAACAACCAGTCAAGGGTAGAGTTTTCTCCCCCCTACCACCATGTCCGTCCCTCCTCCCTCTCTCCCCCGGGCAGACGTGCGTGTGTCGCGCGGTCTGCGCCGTGCGAGGCGGGTGGTGGTGGCAGGGTGTTCGGCGGGCGCGCAGGCGGTGGCCATGCAGTGCGACGCGCTGAGCCACCTGCTGCCGCCCGGCGCTGTGAAGCGGTGCATCATGGACGGGGGGTTCTTCCCAGGTGCGCTGACAGTGCAGGGAGTAGTGGATGATGGGGGGAGAGCGGGGGGGTGGGTGGGTGAGTGGTTTAGCCATCTGGGGTGTATATACTATATCAGTGATCAAGAACTTGTGAAGTAGGTTGTATTCTTTGATCTACCATGCATTCCCCTGCCATGCATTCCCCTGCCATGCATTCCCCTGCCATGCATTCCCCTGCCATGCATTCACCCAGCATGTGTGTGCGCCACCACCCCCACCAATTCCCCACCACCCTCTCCCCCCCAGACTGGCGGGACATGAGCGGTGTGTATTTCCTGCGCAAGGTGGCGCAGCGCCTCGTGGCCATGCACAACATCTCTGGGGACTCCGACTGCCTCCGAGGTAAGCCGCAACAGTGCCACCATGCTTGCCATGCCTGCACTCATGGCCCTTGAGCCAATAAAGGTGTGCTTGGTGAGCGATGGGTCTTATCCCTCATTGACTTCTCCCCTTCCAGCCAGCGTTTCTGACAAGCCTGCTGTTGCTTGAAACCTTTCAAGCCCTCTTGCCCCGTGCCTTCCCCATCACCTGTGGCTCTGCCAGGGGAGGGCCCTGACAGCCAGTGGCGCTGTTTCTTCCCGGAGCACGGCGTGCGCCACGTGTCGACGCCACTGCTGGTGGTGAACTCGGTGAACGACGTGGACGCGCTCACCCTGCTCAACCTGCACAGCCCCAACCGCCGCCGCCTGCACCGCTGCCTGCTCAGCCTGGCAGGCCGGGGAAAGCCGCAGTGCTCCAAGGAGGACGCGGGCACGGCGCTGGCGTACACGGTGAGGGTGGCGGGGCTGGTGAAGGAGGCGGCGCGGCGCAACCCGTCGGTGAAGAAGTTTCTGTACCACGACCGCCTGCACTGCGCGACGTTAGAGAATCGGTGGAGCTCCGTTCAAGGGGATGGGGGGGCATTGCGAGACGTTTTGAACTACTTTGCATTGAGTTAATACTGAAGTGAAACATTTTGTTCACTAGGAGGCTCTATGCCCCAAGGTGTGTCTCCAAGCCATTTCTGATTTCATACCATCGTGGATAGTCCTCACCTCGAGGTGAACGCGTTTCTACTGACAGCACGATCTCCATCGTGGTGGGCTTCTTCTAAAGAAAATGAAAAGGCAATCATGGGTTCATGAATTTAAGTCCGACTTTGTAAAAGGTTGCCAAGTCGGACAATACCCGTACCGAATTCTTGTCAATCGAGCAATCCCCGTTCGCAAACCCCTTTTGCCGCTCCTCCCAGCGCGCGTCACCTGTTTCTGTGCCGCATTCGCCCAATCCCCGTCCGCCATGGCTGCACGGAGTTCCGTCGCCCCTCTCGTCGGCCACGCGTCGTTCCCCTCTCCCCGGCTCGCCCTCACCGCCGTCCTGTCCCGCAAAAACAGACTCCTCACCGCCGTCCTCTCCCTGGCTCTCCTCGCCTCGGCAGCAGCGGCCTCCCTCGACCGCCTCTACCTCGCGCACGAGGCGCGCCTCGCGATGGCAGCGAGGCAAGGGCAGGGGCTCTCCGGGGGCGATGGCGGGGGAGCGGGGGAGAGGGAAGCGAGGGGGGCGAGGGGAGGCGGCGCGCTGTGGTTCGACCAGGCGCTGGACCACTTCAACCCCGCCGTGCGTTGCCGCCGCGCCTGCCACCTCTGCTATGGCTCTGCAACGAAAAGCTACGGGCCGTGCCGTGTCGTGCCTAGTAGAAATTTGATGCTCTGGATTGTACTAGGCACATCCCGGGCGAAACACAGACGCGACGGGACGGATTATGTGCTGGGTTAGCATGAGTGGAAGCAACACATAGCCCAGGATCAACCCCCTCCCTTTCCGTCCGCCATATCCACATCTCCCCTCCGCTGCCCGTTCACACTCTCCCCCCCAACCCCGCCTGCCCTTGTGTTTCACCGTCTCGTCCTTCCGCGAATCCCTCTTCTCTCATTCTCTTTTGTGGCTGACCCCGCCCGCTCTCTTCTTACAAAATTCGCCTCCCGCCCCTCAAGTGCCGTCCTCGCCCTCGTGAGCCATGCACGGGGGGCCATGCACGGGGGGCCATGCACGGTAGGGCGTGACACTACATGGCGTGTTGTATGCTGCGTAATCCTGCACACCAGGCCGATTGCCGTTGCCAAACATGTGTGTGTCTCTTGTCATGTGTGTGTCTCTTGTCATGTGTGTGTCTCTTGTCATGTGTGTGTCTCTTGTCAAGTGTGTGTCTCTTGTCATGTGTGTGTCTCTTGTCATGTGTGTGTCTCTTGTCATGTGTGTGTCTCTTGTCATGCGTGTGTCTCTTGTCATGCGTGTGTCTCTTGTCATGCGTGTGTCTCTTGTCATGCGTGTGTCTCTTGTCATGTGTGTGTCTCTTGTCATGTGTGTGTCTCTTGTCATGTGTGTGTCTCTTGTCATGTGTGTGTCTCTTGTCATGTGTGTGTCTCTTGTCATGTGTGTGTCTCTTGTCATGTGTGTCTCTTGTCATGTGTGTGTCTCTTGTCATGTGTGTGTCTCTTGTCATGTGTGTGTCTCTTGTCATGTGTGTGTCTCTTGTCATGGTGTGCATGCATGCGACATGCGGCATGCGGCATGCGGCATGCGGCATGGACGTGCATGGCGCGCCACAGGACGGGCGCACCTTCCCCCAGCGCTACTACGAGGATTTTACTCACTTCAACGCGGCAGCGGGCGGCCCGGTGATTCTCGTGATCTGCGGGGAGGCGCCCTGCCACGGCATTCCCAATGACTACCGCACTGTGCGCTCGTGCCCCCTCTCCCTCGCGCCCCCTCTCCGTCGCTCCCCGTCACCTTGGCCTTTGCGGTGCCTCCCTCATTCCCTCCGCCTCTCCCCTCTACGTCTTCCCTTCATCTCTCCTGTCTATCTCCGCATTCCTTTCCATTGCACTCGTTTTACTCACCTCGGGGGCCGTTTTATCCCAGCCTTGTTGTCTCGTGCCTTCCGCGCCTCATCCATGCTTCCTCGCCTCATCCATGCTTCCTCGCCTCATCCATGCTTCCTCGCCTCATCCATGCTTCCTCGCCTCATCCATGCGTCCTCGCCTCATCCACCATCACCCGCCCCTCCCCTCGCAGGAGTTGGCAGCGCATTTCGGGGCCGCCATGGTGGCATTGGAGCACCGTTTCTACGGCCAATCACAGCCCTTTGCTGACCTCTCCACTGCCAGCTTGGCATATCTCTCGGCGAATCAGGCACTGGCTGACCTGGCAACGTTCCGTCAATTCTATCAGGTGCGTTTGAGGAGTGAAGTTAGGATGAAGGGAAGCCGTTTCACGAACGAACACAATCAGCTGTTGCTGCCGCTCTCTTTATTCCTATCGTGCAACTTTCTCACCCCGCATCCCTATCGTGCAACTTTCTCACCCCGCATCCCTATCGTGCTTCACATCCCTTCCTTGCCTCACATGCCATCATGCCCTCACGTCCCCCCGTCCCCACAGCAACGCCTGGACCATCTGTTCTATGCGTCTCACAGCAGCAGCCATGGCAGCAGTGGCAGCAATGGGGAGCGGCGGTGGGTGGTGACGGGGGTGTCGTACGCGGGGGCTGTGAGCGCGTGGGCGCGGCTGTCCTATCCGCACCTCTTCCACGCCAGCCTGGCGTCCTCCGCCGTGGTCAACGTCATCCGCGACTTCTTCGAGTTCGAGGAGCAGGTGAGTGGTGCCTCAGTTGTGCTGCCTTTGTGTTGAACACATGCAAGTAGGCATGAGCAACGGCCCAGCCACGGCCGTTTTGGCTCGAGCCAAGTGAGGTTCCTCATCCTCCGCAAGAGGCGGGCGAGCCAGGCTCAATCGAGTCAAGCCGTGCGGCCCCGACACGCGGTGGTCGTTGACGAGCCATGACGAGCCCGGTGGCTCGACGAGGCAGCACGGCGGGCTCGTGGAAGCGACGAATACGAGCCGCAAGCTGCCAGGGGCTCGTCAATCGCCTCATGGCCACGGGGGCTCGGGTCTATCCAGAGGCGAGCCGAACCGACAAGCCGAGCCGCCGGCTTGGCCCTCTGCTCATGTCAAGTTGGAATTGTGGCGGGATGAAACAATCCGCTCGACCTTGTCTGGAAACTGCTGAGAGAAGTAACATTAGAGAGAAAAGTAACATTAGAGAGAAAATTAACATTAGAGAGAAAAGTGTTACCTCAAAAGGGAGCCAAGAGGCTCTATAGTACAACCAAGGAGCAAGGAAAGGTTGGAACGGAAGGCACTCCTATTGGCTACAATAGTGGCCAATGGGAGAGGTAGCTTGGAGGAGAAGCAACCCCAAAGTAGACATGATCAAAACGCGATTGCGATTTAAATCGCATCGCATGCAGGTGCGATGTTTAAAAAAGCGATGCGATTTTAAATCGCATCGCGCGATTTATTTTTCAAAAAAAAATAAAAATCGCACATCGCATTTTACCCGCGATGTATTAATAAATCGCATGCGATATTTAATTAAATCGCAAAATGCGATTTTAAATCGCATCGCGTTTTAAAACAGAATTAAAAAACACCCCAAAAAAACAGAAAAAAACCATGGCTGCGGGGAAATTGACTCACGGGCAGTCGTAAGCTAGAGTGCAAATAACCAGTGTGGTTTCGTAGTGGGTTTCAGAGTGGGTTTCAGTGCAATATCGCGCGTGATTTTTTAAAAATCGCATATCGCATTTAAATCGCGTTTTTTAAGCGCGATTAAAATGCGATTTAAATTAAATCGCGCGATATTCATTCATCGCATCGCGCGATGATAAAAAAAAAAAAAAAACATCCCCATCGCAAAAACGCGATTAAATGCGATGCGATGCGATTTTTTTTGCCCATGTCTACCCCAAAGTGTGGTGGTTGCTGATTGGTGGAGCCTTGGGACCATTCGGTTGGAAAGTGCCAACCAAAGGACCAAGGTCAAATCCAATCTTGACCAACCAAATTGTGGTTGGTGATCCCAACCAACAACCCCCCAATAACTTAAATGTCTACACCTCCTATTCTAGTCATGCATGTTGTATGTAATAATATATTACAGCAACTGCGTCAGGGCACACATTTCAATCCCTCTATAACACAGCATAGCCTTTTATGCATGGGGCGTCCAGTTTGAGATAGCTGGTGGAACAGTACCAAGCTTGAACGACATTCAGTGGACTTCAGTGCACCTCCTTCCGGATTCTGCTGTTGGAAAAGGAGCACTGCAGCTGCAGGTGCGGTCAGTGGGAAAGAGCTACACATGCACGTGGGTGGTTGTGGGCGCGCCGACCCGCTAACAAAACATAGTGGAAACGGCTCTGCGTTTAAACTCCTGTGATGTACTATATTCGCTCTCTCTCTCCCACCTCATCCTCTATTCCCACCCCCCTCCTCCCCCATTCACGGCCATCAGGTGCTGCAGTCAGCGGGTCCCCTGTGTGCCACCATCCTGCGCAACATCACGCGCCGCGTCGAGCTGCAGCTGGCGTCGTCCGCCGCGGAAAGGCGCGCCGTCAAGCAGCTCTTCGCCGCCCACTCCGTACGTGCTCTGTCCTCCCTCGCCCTGCACACTTCTTCTAGCGATGCTGGCGTCGGTCAGCATCGGTATGAGACGGATGCCCAATTAAGGTAACATTGACCGAGCGAGCTCTCGCGGAAAAACATCGTTAAGTTGAGGAAACACGTAGCTCTTGGTCTTTGGTTGAGGAGGCGGGTGCAGTGCACATTTGATGACGCACCCTTACTACCTCCGTGTACTTGCTGCTCTCTCCCTGCTCTCTCCCTGCTCTCTCCCTGCTCTCTCCCTGCTCTCTCCCTGCTCTCTCCCTGCTCTCTCCCTGCTCTCTCCCTGCTCTCTCCCTGCTCTCTCCCTGCTCTCGCCCTGCTCTCTCCCTGCTCTCTCCCTGCTCTCGCCCTGCTCTCTCCCTGCTCTCTCCCTGCTCTCTCCCTGCTCTCTCCCTGCTCTCTCTTGAATGCCCCATTCGTCCCCTCTGCCGGCCCTTCCTCGTCACCCCCATGCGCACAGGCCTGTCGATCCGACCATCATCACCCACTCTGGTGCGCTGCTCTCACCTCTCGCATGCACACCCTTGTCCGTGGCAGGTGGAGCACGACGGTGACTTTCTCTTTCTTCTCGCCGATGCTGCAGTCTTTGCTGTAAGCCACACGTCTCTGTTTTCAGTGTGACAACGGCTGTATAAGCTGACGGCACTTATATGCACGCGCAACTCTGTGCTGCCTTACGTGTAACACCCATGTGGTTGTAATGAACGTGCAGGGAGGTAATGTTTACCTCGTCACATCATTGTGTATGACATGTGCAGCCAATCTTTCCTCTCCCTCATTTCTTCGTCCTGGCACCTTCCCTTTCTCCCACTCCCTCCACCGCGCTCCCTCCAACACACCCATTCACCGCGCTCCCTCCAACCGCTCTGCCTCCCTCACCCCGCTCTGCCTCCCTCACCCCGCTCTGCCTCCCTCACCCCGCTCTGCCTCCCTCACCCCGCTCTGCCTCCCTCACCCCGCTCTGCCTCCCTCACCCCGCTCTGCCTCCCTCACCCCGCTCTGCTTCCCTCTCAGATTCCCTCCACTGTTTCGCCCCGCCCCTTCCACCAACGCCTTCTCTCCCCTCAGTTTCAGTACGGCCGCCCGGACCAGCTGTGCGACCCCCTCACTCAGGCACACGCCAAGGGCTCTGATACCATGGTATGGTATGGTGATGCCATGGTATGGTATGGTGATGCCATGGTATGGTATGGTGATGTCACGTTCTTGGCCTCCCATGCATGCATGCACATGTGTGCGAAAGAAACGCAAATGTGTACAAGGTACTTGTCAAGTTACGTGCCTGACCATAGTGATGCTACTTTTGACAGATCAGTCTCCTCAGCCCCCCCTCTACCCCGTCTTTGCCCCGTTCTTTACATTTTTCCTCTTCTATTCCAAAAGTATCCCCCTTCTCGCCCCATGTTCCCTACCAATTCAGCACGCCTATGCATCCTATGTGCGCGATCTCTTCTTCGCTCACTTCGGCGCCTCTCCAGCGGACTATGACCGCCACTCTCTCGCCAACACCTCCCTTGTCGGGCCCAGTGCTGGTCAGTCCGCCATTTGCTGCTGCTCCTGGGTTTGCCGCCCATTACTGCTGGGTTTGCAGCCAAGTGCTGCTGGGTTTGCCGCCCAGTGCTGCTGGGTTTGCCGCCAGTGCTGCCGGGTTTGCCGTTCTGGGTTTGCTGCCCAGTGCTTCTGGGTTTGCCACCCAGTGCTGCTGGGTTTGCCGCCCAGTGCTGCCAGGTTTGCTGGCTAGTGCTGCCGGGTTTGCCGCCCAATGCTGCCGGGTTTGCCACCCAGTGCTGCTGGGTTTGCCGCCCAGTGCTGCTGGGTTTGCCGATCACTGCTGCCATCAAGCACCCAGCTTCCTAAGGCCCACTGCTGCCATCAAGCACCCAGCTTCCCAAGGCCCGCTGCTGCCATCAAGCACCCAGCTTCCCCAGACTCACTGCTGCCATCAAGCACCCAGCTTCCCAAGGCCCACTGCTGCCATCAAGCACCCAGCTTCCCAAGGCCCACTGCTGCCATCAAGCACCCAGCTTCCCAAGGCCCACTGCTGTCATCAAGCACCCAGCTTCCCAAGGCCCACTGCTGCCATCAAGCACCCAGCTTCCCAAGGCCCACCACTGCTGCCATCAAGCACCCAGCTTCCCAAGGCCCGCTGCTGCCACCAAGCACACAGCTTCCCAAGGCCCACTGCTGCCATCAAGCACCCAGCTTCCCAAGGCCCACTGCTGCCATCAAGCACCCAGCTTCCCAAGGCCCACCACTGCTGCCATCAAGCACCCAGCTTCCCAAGGCCCGCTGCTGCCACCAAGCACACAGCTTCCCAAGGCCCACTGCTGCCATCAAGCACCCAGCTTCCCAAGGCCCACTGCTGCCATCAAGCACCCAGCTTCCCAAGGCCCACTGCTGCCATCAAGCACCCAGCTTCCCAAGGCCCACTGCTGCCATCAAGCACCCAGCTTCCCAAGGCCCACTGCTGCCATCAAGCACCCAGCTTCCCAAGGCCCACTGCTGCCATCAAGCACCCAGCTTCCCAAGGCCCACTGCTGCCATCAAGCACCCAGCTTCCCAAGGCCCACTGCTGCCATCAAGAACCCAGCTTCCCAAGGCCCACTGCTGCCATCAAGCACCCACCCAGCTTCCCAAGGCCCACTGCTTCCATCGAGCACCCAGCTTCCCAAGGCCCACTGCTGCCATCAAGCACCCAGCTTCCCAAGGCCCACTGCTGCCATCACGCACCCAGCTTCCCAAGGCCCGCTGCTGCCATCAAGCACCCAGCTTCCGAAGGCCCACTGCTGCCACCAAGCACCCAGCTTCCCAAGGCCCACTGTTGCCATCAAGCACCCAGCTTCCCAAGGCCCACTGCTGCCATCAAGAACCCAGCTTACCAAGGCCCACTGCTGCCATCAAGCACCCAGCTTCCCAAGGCCCACTGCTGCCATCAAGCACCCAGCTTCCCAAGGCCCACTGCTGCCATCAAGCACCCAGCTTCCCAAGGCCCACTGCTGCCATCAAGCACCCAGCTTCCCAAGGCCCACTGCTGCCATCAAGCACCCAGCTTCCCAAGGCCCACTGCTGCCATCAAGCACCCAGCTTCCCAAGGCCCACTGCTGCCATCAAGCACCCAGCTTCCCAAGGCCCACTGCTGCCATCAAGAACCCAGCTTCCCAAGGCCCACTGCTGCCATCAAGCACCCACCCAGCTTCCCAAGGCCCACTGCTTCCATCGAGCACCCAGCTTCCCAAGGCCCACTGCTGCCATCAAGCACCCAGCTTCCCAAGGCCCACTGCTGCCATCACGCACCCAGCTTCCCAAGGCCCGCTGCTGCCATCAAGCACCCAGCTTCCGAAGGCCCACTGCTGCCACCAAGCACCCAGCTTCCCAAGGCCCACTGTTGCCATCAAGCACCCAGCTTCCCAAGGCCCACTGCTGCCATCAAGAACCCAGCTTACCAAGGCCCACTGCTGCCATCAAGCACCCAGCTTCCCAAGGCCCACTGCTGCCATCAAGCACCCAGCTTCCCAAGGCCCACTGCTGCCATCAAGCACCCAGCTTCCCAAGGCCCACTGCTGCCATCAAGCACCCAGCTTCCCAAGGCCCACTGCTGCCATCAAGCACCCAGCTTCCCAAGGCCCACTGCTGCCATCAAGCACCCAGCTTCCCAAGGCCCACTGCTGCCATCAAGCACCCAGCTTCCCAAGGCCCACTGCTGCCATCAAGCACCCAGCTTCCCAAGGCCCACTGCTGCCATCAAGCACCCAGCTTCCCCAGACTCACTGCTGCCATCAAGCACCCAGCTTCCCAAGGCCCACTGTTGCCATCAAGCACCCAGCTTCCCAAGGCCCACTGCTGCCATCAAGAACCCAGCTTACCAAGGCCCACTGCTGCCATCGAGCACCCAGCTTCCCAAGGCCCACTGCTGCCATCAAGCACCCAGCTTCCCAAGGCCCACTGCTGCCATCAAGCACCCAGCTTCCCAAGGCCCACTGCTGCCATCAAGCACCCAGCTTCCCAAGGCCCGCTGCTGCCATCAAGCACCCACCCAGCTTCCCAAGGCCCACTGCTTCCATCGAGCACCCAGCTTCCCAAGGCCCACTGCTGCCATCAAGCACCCAGCTTCCCAAGGCCCACTGCTGCCATCACGCACCCAGCTTCCCAAGGCCCACTGCTGCCATCAAGCACCCAGCTTCCAAGGCCCACTGCTGCCATCAAGCACCCAGCTTCCCAAGGCCCACTGTTGCCATCAAGCACCCAGCTTCCCAAGGCCCACTGCTGCCATCAAGAACCCAGCTTACCAAGGCCCACTGCTGCCATCAAGCACCCAGCTTCCCAAGGCCCACTGCTGCCATCAAGCACCCAGCTTCCCAAGGCCCACTGCTGCCATCAAGCACCCAGCTTCCCAAGGCCCACTGCTGCCATCAAGCACCCAGCTTCCCAAGGCCCACTGCTGCCATCAAGCACCCAGCTTCCCAAGGCCCACTGCTGCCATCAAGCACCCAGCTTCCCAAGGCCCACTGCTGCCATCAAGCACCCAGCTTCCCAAGGCCCACTGCTGCCATCAAGCACCCAGCTTCCCAAGGCCCACTGCTGCCATCAAGCACCCAGCTTCCCAAGGCCCATCCGCTCCTTCGTATTCCACTTGCCCAGGTTCCCCAGCCCCCCCGCGTTGGTTTTCCACCTCACACGCTCTCCTGGTCCCCACCCCCCGTCGTCTCTCCCCTTGCACCATGACCCCAGGCATGCGCACGTGGCTGTACCAGTGCTGCACGCAAATGGCCTTCTTCCAAACGCCCGCCCGCATCGGCGAACCCATTCGCTCAGCGGCTCTCAACATGAGGTGAGTGAGGGATGGGTGTTAGGTGAGGGATGGGTGTTAGGTGAGGGATGGGTGTTCGGTGAGGGATGGGTGTTAGGTGAGGGATGGGTGTTAGGTGAGGGATGGGTGTTAGGTGGGGGATGGGTGTTAGGTGAGGGATGGGTGTTCGGTGAGGGATGGGTGTTAGGTGAGGGATGGGTGTTCGGTGAGGGATGGGTGTTCGGTGAGGGATGGGTGTTCGGTGAGGGATGGGTGTTTGGTGAGGGATGGGTGTTAGGTGAGGGATGGGTGTTAGGTGAGGGATGGGTGTTCGGTGAGGGATGGGTGTTAGGTGAGGGATGGGTGTTCGGTGAGGGATGGGTGTTAGGTGAGGGATGGGTGTTAGGTGAGGGATGGGTGTTCGGTGAGGGATGGGTGTTAGGTGAGGGATGGGTGTTAGGTGAGGGATGGGTGTTAGGTGGGGGATGGGTGTTAGGTGAGGGATGGGTGTTCGGTGAGGGATGGGTGTTAGGTGGGGGATGGGTGTTAGGTGAGGGATGGGTGTTCGGTGAGGGATGGGTGTTCGGTGAGGGATGGGTGTTAGGTGAGGGATGGGTGTTAGGTGAGGGATGGGTGTTCGGTGAGGGATGGGTGTTAGGTGAGGGATGGGTGTTCGGTGAGGGATGGGTGTTAGGTGAGGGATGGGTGTTCGGTGAGGGATGGGTGTTCGGTGAGGGATGGGTGTTAGGTGAGGGATGGGTGTTCGGTGAGGGATGGGTGTTAGGTGAGGGATGGGTGTTCGGTGAGGGATGGGTGTTAGGTGAGGGATGGGTGTTCGGTGAGGGATGGGTGTTCGGTGAGGGATGGGTGTTTGGTGAGGGTTGGATGCGAGGTGAGGGGTGGATGGGAGGTGCCATGGTGAATGGAATGCTGCCAGCACAGTTGGTGCAGCCTACCTCCTCCGGGCCACTTGTGCACTTGCGTTGCCATCTCAACACCCTCACTTCTCTCAACACCCTCACTTCTCTCAACACCCTCACTTCTCTCAACACCCTCACTTCTCTCAACACCCTCACTTCTCTCAACACCCTCACTTCTCTCAACACCCTCACTTCTCTCAACACCCTCACTTCTCTCAACACCCTCACTTCTCTCAACACCCTCACTTCTCTCAACACCCTCACTTCTCTCAACACCCTCACTTCTCTCAACACCCTCACTTCTCTCAACACCCTCACTTCTCTCAACACCCTCACTTCTCTCAACACCCTCACTTCTCACTTCTCTCTTCTCTCTGGCATTCGCTCTCTCTCGAATTCTCTGAGCATCTCATCTGGGCAGCAGTTTCCCTCATTCAAACTGTTCTTATTTCTCCCTCCCCGTCGCCCCTCCCCCAGTTACTGGCAGGGGCTGTGTGCGTCTGTGTACGGCTCGCACCCGCGTGTGCTCTTCCCCGACACGGCCGCCACCAACACCTTCTTCGGAGGAACCGCCATCGCCTGTCAGTAACGCGCCTGACGCCCGTTTTCGTTTGGTCTAGAATAACAGTCCTTCACCCATGCAGTCCTTTCACGCGTCTTGTTTCCGCGCCTCCCTCGTCCACCCCCCAGCGTCGCGCATCTTCTTCACCAACGGGTCGCAGGACCCCTGGAAGCGCGCATCGCGACTCATTGGCACCTATGCAAGTGAGTGGCTGATTGGACATGGCATGCCGCATGCCACAACTACATGCATGGCATGCCGCATGTGCACATGCTCTTTGGCTCCAGTCCCTCCAAGTCAGTGCATGCATCCTCACATGTTGCTGTCCCTATGCAGTATATTGTTTTTGTAAACTGCTTGTACTCTTGGTGATACTTGTTACTAGTGTGTACTCTTGGTGATACTTGTTACTAGTGTGTACTCTTGGTGATACTTGTTACTAGTGTGTACTCTTGGCGATACTTGTTACTAGTGTGTACTCTTGGTGATACTTGTTACTAGTGTGTCCTCTTGGTGATACTTGTTACTAGTGTGTACTCTTGGTGATACTTGTTACTAGTGTGTCCTCTTGGTGATACTTGTTACTAGTGTGTCCTCTTGGTGATACTTGTTACTAGTGTGTCCTCTTGGTGATACTTGTTACTAGTGTGTCCTCTTGGTGATACTTGTTACTAGTGTGTCCTCTTGGTGATACTTGTTACTAGTGTGTCCGCTTGGTGATACTTGTTACTAGTGTGTGTTTCCAATGCATTCTGGTGGTTTCACCAGCAAGGTGGCTTCCGTTCCCATGGTATGGACCATTTCTCCGTCCACACCATCTCCTCCACACCATCTCCTCCACACCATCTCCTCTGCACCATCTCCTCCACACCATCTCCTCTGCACCATCTACTCCACACGATCTCCTCTGCACCATCTACTCCACACGATCTCCTCTGCACCATCTACTCCACACGATCTCCTCTGCACCATCTACTCCACACGATCTCCTCTGCACCATCTCCTCCAAACCATCTTCTCTACATCATCTCCTCTGCAACATATCCCCTTGTGTTCTGTGAACGTATATCATATATCATTCCACATGTCCCAAACCCCGCCCCATACCCCATACCCCGTTTCCAATACCCCATACCACATGCCCTGCCCCACGCCCATGGCAGTGCCGAGTGTGATGGTGACGTGTCACAACTGCGGGCACGGAGTGGACATGCGCGGCTGCCCCACGTGGCTCAACGCCAACCACCCCCATGGTCCTGCGCCTCTCTGCCCTTGCCTCTCCTTCCCCCATCCCTCCCTTCCGTCATCAAACGCCCTTCCTCCCATCAGACACTCTTCCTCCCATCAGACACTCTTCCTCCCATCAGACACTCTTCCTCCCATCAGACGCTCTTCTTCCCATCAGACACTCTTCCTCCCATCAGACGCTCTTCCTCCCATCAGACGCTCTTCCTCCCATCAGACGCTCTTCCTCCCATCAGACGCTCTTCCTCCCATCAGACGCTCTTCCTCCCATCAGACGCTCTTCCTCCCATCAGACGCTCGTCCTCCCATCAGACGCTCTTCCTCCCATCAGACGCTCTTCCTCCCATCAGACGCTCTTCCTCCCATCAGACGCTCTTCCTCCCTCGCTCCCACCATCCATCCTCCTCTCTCTCCCTGTGGTGTTTCCTAGCCCTCTGCACTTTCCTTCCTCCTGTCCTTCCACCGCCATGTGCCCGTGCATGCCCACCCTGGCCCGCCCAGAGCCCTCCCACTCTGTCATGCGACACTGCGCGCCCTCACTGCCATCCCTGCCTCACCAACTCCCCTCGCCCTCCTCTCGCCACCTCTCCCCTATTGCCTTCCTCCCTCTGCGTTGCCCATTTCCCAGGCGACGCCTCGAGCTGCTCGGATCCGTCCGTGCTGCCCGCTGTGAGGAGCGACCTCAAAGACGCTCTGGAGAGCTGGCTCCGCCCCGACTACATGCCAGTGCTGACGGGTGCCTCTGACGGCCGCGCTGCCATGTGAAGCAATGCTGGAAGGGAGCCTCGCGCTGACCTCCGCTGCTCCACACAGATGGCGCGAGCGGTGTTGCATTGCCACTCCAATGTACACTGCTGGCTGATTCTCATTCGCTTGTGCCAGCCAGCCGTGGCCATTGCATTACACACATCTTTTGCATAAGGGGGGGGTGGAGAGGTCGAGGTAGCAGAGTCTAGAATATAAGGACGGGGCCCTTAACCCAGACATGAAGGGGGCATCACCAATCGATGTTTGCGTAGATCCGAATGTGTGGTGGTTCATTAGCTGGGGATAATACACTGGTTTTCCATGAATACTGTCTTAGCTTCTCTGGTTTTTCCAGGTTGACATGCAAGACAAAGCTTGATGTGCTGCATGTGTTTTACCAAAAAGCAACCACCACGTTCCACTCCTAGCACTACCATGTGCAAGGTGCCTCCCATTCAGGCTGGCGCTGGTTGTTTCCGCGGGTGGACAAGAGAAATGCACAGTACACATGCATGCTTCTCCATAAAAACTTCAATCCTTGGAACAGTGACCGTGCCCTTAGAGCATCCAAGGACAGTACCGTTGCCTTCCTACAGCGGAAGGTCACCAGATGTGTGCAGGATGGGCCAGGCCATCATGTACGGCAGCGCTACATGCACATATGGTAGGAGGGCACACAAGGACTCATAGTCCAGGGGGCACATGGTCGTGGCGTGGCACGTGGGTCGCCACTTCACTCGGCAGGGAAGAGCCAGCAAGTCGCATCAACAATCACATGGCAAGGCACAGGCCTCCATGGGGGCAATCGGAGTGGATGGCGAATGAGGTCTTGCCTTGCCCCCTCGCCCCCTCGCATGAATGGCAGACGTGCAAGTGCCCTCTATATTCACAGGAGCGCACACAACGCCCCGTGTTCCATGGGCCGCACATGCGTGGAGTGTACGTGAGGTCCCTATGGCCGGCATCGCACTTACACCGCCGGTATTGACAGTGACCTCCTTCTTAGCGTAGAACAAGTGACTAGAATGAGGTGGTACAAGGGAATATAACATAAGGGGTTGTACTCTATATGGGCATGCACCAAGCTAGCCTAAAACATCAACAAATTATATGTTGACACACCCCCTAGGCTAGTCAAGGGGCAGAGACTAGCACGAGATACGTAGCTCAGGGTGGCACTACTAGTTCAACCTCTCAAGCAAGGGTCCGAAGAGCAGTCAAGAAGAGTACAAAACAAGCAAGAGCAATCCAGGGCGGCATTACAAGTCCAGCCACTGGAACAAGACCCACAAGGCCAGTCAAGATAATATACAGAGTAGTACATAGTCAAGGTCCTAGGAAGTGAGAACCTACAGGAACTAGACCAAGCTGTAAACAGTGCCATTGATGATCTTTAGGCGTAAGCACCTCCGTAAAGATATCAGCTGTGTTGGCACCTGAGGCCAAGTGAACTTCGCGGGACTGGCGGCGCTGTTGTAGCTCGTGCAGGACGAAGTACCACAGCTGGATGTGCTTCGCTCTGCCCTCCAGTCGAGGCTCCTAACACAGGAGGATCATGGCCCTGTTGTCAGCGTACAGGTGCGGGGCAGAGCTAGGCCACTCACCTAAGTGTGTGAGCAAGAAGGTCAGCCAGCGGAGCTCCTGTGCCGCCATGGCACCGGTGTAAATCTCAGCCTATCAGCTAGACTGTGCAACAGACGACGAGCAGGTGGACCTCCACGAGATGGCGACTGCACCAAGGCTAAAGTAGTAGCCCTGGGAGGACCTGAGCGTCTCAGCGTTGTCCGCCCATGAAGCCTTGTAAGGACCACTAACCTGCGTCCTCCTAGCACTAGCCCAATGCCCGAGGTACTTGCTAGATAATGCAAAACCCTCTTAGTGGCCGATCAGTGCTATGGTCGGTGTCTGCCTGTGGCCACAAAGCGAGCCAGGATGCTGAGAGGTTCTACGAGATCTGGACGAGTGCAAGTCATCACGTACATGAGGCAACCCACCAGCTATGCGTAAGGACCACTAGGCTCGACAGAATCCTCAGGGACTGAGCCGAGGGCCTATGATCTACTGGCAAAGGTGTGGGCTGAGCTGAGGAGAACTGAAGACCGAACCTCTGAAGGACGTGGCGCACCAAGTGTGACTGTGTGAGAGTGATGGTGCCCGCTGCTCTGTCCTTGGAGATCTACAGGCCAAGGTAGCGGCGCAGCTCTCCAAGGTCAGTGCATGCGTGTTTCCTCAGTAGCTAAGCCTTCACCGAGGCCAGTGCGTCTCTGTCTGCAGCAGCAAAGACCAGGTCGTCTACGTAGACTAGGAAGTAGAACGGGGTCTGGCCAACACGAAAGAAGAGCGAGGAGTCTGCAGACGACGGGAAGGACTACAGGCCAGCGAGCGTAGCACGCATCGTGTCGTGCCACTCATCGAGCGCCTGCCGCAGGCCGTAAACCGGGCGCCGGAGGAGCCACATGGTCCCCAGGGCGAAGATGTCCGTGAAGCCTGGCGGGCGACGCAAGTAGATCTACTCGTGCAGACTGCCCTGAAGAAACGCTGCGGAGAAGTCGAGAGAGTGCTGCTCGTAGTCACGATGTGCTGCTACATGTAGCAGCGCCTGAAGAGTAGTCATCTTCGGGGTCGGGGCGAAGGTCTGAAAGAAGTCCACACCCTCGCACTGATTGAAGCTTCTAGCAACGTAGAATGCCCTGAACACTGGCGGCTCTCCAGGAGAGCGCTTCACCTTGAAGAGCCACCGGCCATCGATTGCGTTCACCCCAGGTGAGGGAAATGCATCGACGTAGGTGCCGATGGATCTCCAAGATGCCATCTCCGCGTCCATGGCAGCTATCCCCTGGAGGCCTAGAGTCCCGAGGTCGCCTCAGCGTAGGTGTGAGGGATAGGGATATCGAAAGCGTCTGGGTCCCCCTCAGGGACTAACAACATGGAGCAGAGATGAGGCGCGGCCTCGGACAGGAAAGGAAGCTCGTACTGCCGGTCCTCTAGGATGTCACTGCCAAGGGCATGAGCACCCCCGACGGACGGAGGACGGACAGAGTCAGAGACCAGAGCATTGGCGTAGTCAAGGCGGTGGGGGGAGGCGAAGTCAACTATGGCAGCGACAAGTGCTTCAAGACTCGAGACTGGAACAGTAGGGTCGGTAACGAGGGAGGCAAGGACTGGAGGAACAAGAGGACTAGCGGTACGAAGGTAGTCAGATAGAGGAGGCAAAGCAACAACAAGCGACGACGGAGGAGGGGAGGGGAGAAGGAGAAGACGAGGCTCGTGGGAACGAAGCAACATAGTGTGAGAGCACTGAACAAGGGAGACAGGACAAGCACGAGAGGGACGACAAGACACGACGTGGGACGGAGGCGTCGAGTCAGGAGACACAGGACGAGACACAGGAGCAGACACAGGAGCAGAACGAGGGGGGAAATGAGCCGGGGACAAGTCCGGTGAAGGAAAGACAGGGCCGTAGACAGGCAGGGGAGGTGGCGGAAGGGGGGGCACAGGCGGGTGATCAGGGGAGGGAAGGCCGAGGAGGCGAAGGGCGGACACCGGTGGCGACTGCTGCTGCTGCTGCTGCTCCTCGCCGACAATAGATCCTCAAGCTGCACCATGGCTACCTCCGGGACATTCCACACAAACACCCCCTGAGCGAGAACCCTCTCCAATACCGGTGCCACCCCCAGGACCGCCAGGATGAGCCATGACAGTAACCCCAGGACTAGCACCCCCAGAATCAGCACCCCCACAACTAGAACTCTCTCCAGCACCGGTGCCACCCCCTGGACCGCTGAGACAAGCCACGACAGGAACCCCAGGACTAGCACGCTCCTCAACGCCTGCACCCCTAGAGCTCGCGAATGGCTGCTGCTGCTGCTACAGCTGCGACGACGACGGCGGTTGCTACTACTGCAGCGACGGTGCCGGCTGCAGCGACGGCGGAGGAGGAGACACTGTGGCGAAAATAGCCGATGAAAACAGCGCCGCGGGGCCACCAGAGTCAACCGACTCCTTGACTGGGACAACCGAAGGGAGGAGAGTGACGTGAGACACACCAGACGGTGTAGGACCGGGAGGGAGGGGAGCAGGGGCTACCGGGGGAGTGGGTACCAGAAACAGGGGCGGGGAAACCGGGAGACCTCAGTAAAGAAAGCGGTAGTAGAAGGAGACAGACTCGTCGAAAGTGGCGTCACGAGAGTGAAAGAAACGGTGAGACGGCGGGTGGTAAAAGTGCTAGTCAGACAAGAGAAGGGGGAAACCCAAAAAGACACAGGGGAGAGTGCGGGCAGTGAGCTTGTCCGTGCCATAGGAAAAAACGTGAGCAAGGCAGCCCCAGACGTGGAACGCGGACGTGTCACCAGGTAACCCGGTCCAGAGAAGGGTCGGCGAAACCTGCGGCCGCTGGAAGTGCAGCCACAGGTTAAGCTGGTGAGAGGCGTAGCGAACGGCGAATGGCCAGAGAAAATGGGGTGCACCGGCATAGATCATAGAGGTACGAGCCACCTCCATGACCAAACCGATGCGTCGTTCAGCGACTCCATTCTGCTGCGGGGAGTTCGGCAGGGTGTACATTTGGGTGATGCCCTCCGCATAACAAAATTGTCCAACCCGACCGGAGGCGAACTCACCACCATGGTCGGAGTGGAGACAAAGCACAGGGAGACCGTGGTGAGCACGCGCAACCACGACCTACGTGATGAGAACATCAGGCACGTTGGCCTTCCGCTCCAGGGGAAACACTGTGGTGTAGCGCGTGTAGTCGTCGACAAGCACTAGAAAGTAGCGCTCGCGACGCGGCCTAGGGACGGGGGCAGGGCCCCAGACGTCAGGTGCAGGGTCTGGAGTGGCGCAGTGGCAGGGGGAAGCGAAGAGGAGTGAGGAGCACGGCGTAGCCGGCCTTCGATGCAGGGCGTGCACGGCGGCGCAGGCGAGGAAGGGAGGGCAGGGAGTGGCGCAGGGAGACCTAGGATGAGACCATGCTGATTTATGTTACACAGACGCGGGAGTGCGGGGTGACATAGGCGGTGGTGCCATAGAAGCGATGGGTGAGTGAGCGACCGACACCAGCAAGCCACGGCGACCTGGGTAGACGCATGTACCGGGGGGGGCGCCCTCACCAAGGGGGATTCAGTGTCCAGCGTAAACTGGCTCGACACCGAGTCCCGGGTGAATGTGGTGAGGGGGGCACCAGTGGTGGCCTTAGTACAGACTGCGTACCGCTCGTGACTGGGGAACGTAGTGGTGACGTCGAGGTCCTGAAGATAGCCAACACCAACTAGGTTCCTAAAGAATGAGGGGATGTTCAGGCCTGTAAGAGAGCCTGAGGGAACCGCCGGACAGGGAAGGGTAGTGGAGCTAGGGGCAACTACCGGACCTGAGGAGAGGTCAGCAAGCACGACAGCGGCAGGGGCGGCAAGCGGCGTG